GTGATACACTTATGTAACATGTACTTGAGAAAAATAAAACCTCTGCTTTTAAAGAAGAATGCTCTGCCCCTCCTGCCACCACTTAATTTTCACAATTTCTCCTTTCTCTATAAAGTGTGAACTAAAAAAAATCATGAGTGAAAGACAGTGATGACCAGGAAAGACAAAATAGAAACATAATGGCAGATGAGATCAGGGGATAATGCTACCATAAAGAGGTAGCTAAAAATATTGCAGTTCTTCTCATTTACCAACAATCTTTACCTTACATCACATCACAGCATTTTCCATTTTACCTATCCACTATCTCTTCATGTGAAAAGGGGCATTAGAACAATGTAATGAACAAAACAAACAGCAGTGTAGTGTTTCTGTGACCAGCAGCTGCAGGAACTGGAGCTGGAAATCTGGCAGTCAGTGTGTCACCCACCTATGCCCCAGTGCCCGAAATGGCTGCAGGACTTGTGCCCCCACCACCTCATGGTCTCCATGCACAACAGTTGTTTCTCTGGCATGGCAGATACAGGGAATTCTTTCCAATGGCCAGACTTGAAGAGGACAGTTCTGAATCTAGGGTTTGTCTCTGCCATAGCTGCAGAGATGTAGCTGCTGTGACAATGAAGACATTGCATGTGTGCAGCAGTGTGCTCAGCCATGTGCTTGGTGGAAATGCAGCAGTGCTAAAGACTGAAATCTGCAGCCAGATCTCTGCAGTTTCTCATATGTGGACCTCCTGCAGAGGTATCTAGGCACAGAAGTGCCAATGTAGACCATGATTTTATGTTACAGCTACTGATAATAACTGGAACTGCTCTTCCAAAAGCTCTAATGCACTGGGAGGCAAAAAGGAATGTGGTTTGGCAGGCAGAGTGGGCCTGATTCAACCAACTGCTTATGTGTCACTGAAATCAATGGTGCTATTTAGGGGCTTAATTGCTTTGCTGAATCCAGGCCAAAGAAACAAAAAGCAAGATGGTTAAGCAACAAAGCTTCGATATATATCTTAAATCTTGAACACTTCCATCCTTTATCAATATTATGATTCTCCCCAGCAATTCAGAGTTGTTCAGAAAAATTTCAAAGAAAACACATGCCTTACTTTTTGGCCCTGACTTAGCTAACATTTTGGTGTACCATTATTCATGCAGATAGTGCCATTTTCTCAAGAACAGAAAGACACAAGTGAAGTGCCACAACAGGCTGTTTTTGCAGGTCAGAGCTGTATCTAATATCTACAGCATTTAAGCATTCCTACCAAGGTTATACAACTGCTAGAGACATCTGGACCTAATACTGAAATGTTCCTATTGCAATCTGTGTGTGCGTGAATATTCTTGTGCCAAAATATTTATTTAAAACTGTCTTTAAAAGAAAGAACAATAAGTTCAAGGAGTTATAATTTTTTCAGTTGTTTTTCTTTCAATAACAAACACACCTCAGACAAATAAAAATTAACAGTTTCAATACCAGTGTTTAAATAATGCTTTTACTCACTGGTTAGTCAGTATCCATAAAGAATAGCTGCATTTGCCCTAATTAATGCCCCATTTCCAGGAAAGGCTTTAATTAACATCTGACATTTAAGCAGCACTACAATGTGGTGTGTAATTATCACCTGGCCTACTTCGGTGTGATTCAAATGCTCTTGGAGAAAGAGATGCTTTTTTTTCCTCTGAAAGTTTTACAGAATGGAGTCGCAACAGAGACTAAGGAAATGAAGGAAAGAAAGCCAGATCTTCAAAGAGATTTAGAGTGGAGTTTTCCAGTACAATTAGCCTATCCCAGTGGCTGGCTGCCCCCCTCAAAGGAGAGGATCCACTCATGCACCTCTCAGCTTTGCCCTGGGCTATCTATTTCTTACCCACTTCCTCTTCCCAATTTGGCAAAGCCCTGAGTGCCACTGGAAGAGTCAGAACTAATAATAGAACTGAGCCCATTTGATAACTCAATGCTGCTAAAACAGGATGGTCTTCCTCCTCTGGTTTTCTCCATCTTCTTTCCCCTGCTTTGTGTCCCTCAGGCTCCACCAGCAGCATGCCAAGCTAGTTCAGTTCCTTAACCCTGGAATCCAAAGAGAAACTAGTTGCTCTGCTAAAGCAGTTTCCTGACAGTTGGGTGAGCTCAGCTGGCTCTCCCCTGGTTCTCACTCCCAGGACTGAGAGGGAGAAGTGTGGGATCACCACCTCCCAGTGGAAGTGGGCTGGTATTTTGTCTTGTGAAATCAGCTCTTACCTTGTGTAGGAAGGTACACCACAAACAAGCATGTTTTTGTACTGTATGTATTTTCTATCAGAAAATTAGTGTCTAATCAAATGACAGTGTTGGTGAAGTGAAAGGTAAGAGCACGTGGCAGGGACCTGATGACCCTTTTGGTTGATCTGAGGCCACTCTTCCCACAGTGAGCTGTAACCAGAGAGAGGACTTTGCAGAGCAAGAACATGCTTCACTCTATCTGTTCAAGTTGCTTTATATGGCATGGAAACACGGAACAGTTTAGGTTGGAAAAGACCTTCAAGGCCATAGACTCATACACTAACTTAAGTAGCTATTAATGTTTAAATATCTAGTATTTGCAGGGTCACTGAGAGTGTGAGCAAGTACCAAGCTGTGGCTGTGCTGAACCTCTCTCCTGCTCTCTGGCCTGATGAATATTTCATTATGCTGTATCAAGAAAAACAGCTTTTAGCACACGGGCCAGGGCTCCTTTCCCTCAACTTCCCAACAATACACCACAGCCTCGTGAACAGAGCACCTTCCCCAGAGAAATGAGCTGGTTTGCTCCTGGTTGGCAGGAGAGGGCCTGGGTGACACTTCCCATGCTGTGGTACAGAGGCAAGTGTTTCCTTACCTCCTCTTCCAGCCATGCCTTGCTGGAGCTCAGAGTCAGCTCTGCAGGAGGAGATCCTTAAACAATATGGGCAGAGAACATAAAACCAACACATTGTGATAGGATGGGTAGGGAGCTGCCTGTGAAGAGCTGAGCCCTTTGCAGACACATCCAGTGACCAAATACTGTGTGAGAAACGGGCAGCTTTGGTGCATGAAGTGAACAGCGGGCTGACATACAAGTACTGATACAGTTGCAGTTCTGAGGTACTCACGGTCCTGCCCTGTCCCCAGCCAGGCCCTGCCTAACAAAATCAAACCAAGTGTAACTTGGCACAAACCAAGTGTAACTTGCATTTAGCAAGTGCAGCAGCTCTGGGGTATTTCAGATATCTGCAGTGAGGACAGGAGAGACAGCTGGGGTGGGAGCCTTGTTAGCTAACCTGATATAAATTGTCTCTTCCCATGAATCACAGCTGTCAGGCACCAATGGGATTTGGGGGTCTCTTGGGTGAGGCTGTAAGGAGAAACTGAATATTATGATTTTGGATCTAGAAATCTAGATTTTAGAAATATTTCAGAAATTTAGGAATAGAATGCATGTGTCCATCTCATTATGTGGGTCTAGTCTTTGAAGTATATGTTACACCATCCTTTAGCCTGCCACACTTCCACACAGAGCTGATGATATTTGCTTCCTAAAAATTACATTCAAGGGACCCTTTATGAACTGACTGTGGGCTTATGTGTTGTTTGGTATCCAATAATTCCTGAGATCTAAGCCCAGATGTTGTCATCTATCTGTTCCATTGCTCTGAAAGGAGTTCATAAAAATAGCACTCAGGAGCTCTGTATCTATTGGAATTCAATATTTCAGTCTGGCAGCCTTGAAACCGAGAGTGAAGCATTGCCCTTTTAGCCAGTACATTGTCGCCAGCTTCTGGGTCAGCAACAGGGAATGACCACATTCCGTATAATTCAGGTGGTGACCTGACAATCCTAGGTCAGTACTGCTTCAGCAATGCAAGGAGAAAGTATTATTGAAATCAGTGCAATTATGTGCAGGAATAAGAATAAGCAACTTTGCAGGATTTTACATTTTTTTCCTTTTCTTTTTCTTTCTTATTGTACAGTCAAACATCCAGGGGACTAGTCACCATCCTGCTGAAGGTTACAGCCTGTCTGGTCTTTAATGTCTGTTTTCAAAGATGACCCCATCCACCTGTTCATTTTCCTACAATCCTCATTCTTCACTCTGAGTGCATCCTAGTCTTTTCCTTATGTCCTATATGACGCAAGGCAATAAAACCAACAATGAGGCAAACTGGTCTATGGATATGCCGGTCCGGTTTGTGCTACTTCCAGCAAGCGCTGCTAGGTGGCAATATGTTACCTGGAAAACCACGAGATTCCAGCCGCCGTCGCCTCCCTCTGCTCCCGACCGAGCTGGGACGTGCCTGGGCATCGCTCCGCTCCAAAGAGGGGATGGGCCCTTGGAGCAGGACCTGGTGAGAGCAGCTTCACTCACACTTTATTGAGATTTTCCAGACACAACTGCAGGGCTGAATCCTACTGGAAAAATTCTTTGTGAACCCAAGAGGAAAAACAAGAGGCGAGCCTGCTTGTTGCAGATAGTGTTGTAAAAAGGAAATGGATGCTTCTATTGTATAAAGATAGCACTGCCTGGGACTAGACTGTCATATTCTCGAGTCTCTGAATAATACAAAGTTGAAAGCACTTGTTCATCATGTAAAACTTTTGTTTTCCCCACATAAATGAATAATTGAAATCCCTACATATTCAATCATAATTTTTAATGAACTGGGCCAATTTTTGAACATTTTATTGACAGCTGGGTTGAAAAACATCTTTAATAAAGATGGAGAAGATATATTTCCAGTTACATACTTCAGCCATGCTACAAATACTTACAACTGAGTTGTCTTAGTATATGTCTCAACAAGGACACAGAAAGACTGGCTCATATTTGCACAATGTTTTGAATTTGCAAAGCACTAAGCGATCTTCATTGAAACCATTTATTTCCCTTAATCTGGCTGCTGGCAAAACCGAGGGCAGGGCTGTGTGTGACAGTGCCATTTTATGCAAGCCTCAAGTTTACACAATTCCAGTTTGATGCCAGGGTAGCTTGCGGCATGCTCAGCACTTTGGCCCAGCTGCCAGAGCTGGGTACAGGTGAGCTGCACCTGGAGCCGGAGAGGCACAGCGGCCAGGAGCAGGACAGCTGGAAAGAGCTCCCACTTAGGCTGACAGGTAAAATAGATGGATGTGAAAATGGGGAGCCCAGGTCTTTCCTTGTGGCGACGTGGACAGGGAGCTGACATCTCAGCTGCCTGCTGCGCACCCCAGGCACAGCAGGCGGGGGCCCCGCCGCCCCAGGCTGGATGCTCCCGGCAGCGATTCCTATCCCCAGGCGAGAGCTCGTCCTGAGCCAGCGGAGAAACGAGGATCTCCAATTCCCCTGACTGGGATAGGAACACGGGGCTTGGTTTTCAGAGATGGAGGCGATCGGTGCAGAAAACAACAATAATGACGACCTGCTTATGTACTATCTAGCAACCTTGGAGCTGACAAAGTATCGTCTGCTTCAAAATTGCTTAAATTCAGGCAGAGTTCTCGCTGTTACGGGTCACGCCTCTATGGACGCGGTGTGAAGCCCTCTCCTGCCGGCCTTAAGTCAGCCCTCAGCTCCCATGGGCTCAGTCGGCTTTTGATGCACTTTGCTCGGCGCGGGGCTGCGCCGACACCGCCGGGCCCGGGGCGCGGGCAGGCGGCGGCGGGGCCGGCCCGGAGGCCGCGGCCGCGGTTCCCGGCGGGGCCCTTTCCCCGCAGCACCGCCCGCCTCCTCTGCTCCGCCGGCGCCGGTCAGAGCCGGGCCCAGGTCAGTGCCGGCCACAGGGCTCCACTGCCCCGGCCGCTCGCGGCCCTCGGGGGGAAAAGGGGGAACGGGGCCGCCGAGGCGGCGCTGCCGGGGCGAGGCAGGCGCGGGGCGTCCCGGTCCCCGCGAGGCCTCGGGGCGCCCGCGGCTGAGGCGAGGTGGCTCCTTTGGTGCAGGAGAGGCCGGCGGTGTTTCTGCTCAGCCCTGACACCTCGGGTCCCGCTTTGGGAACAGCCGGTCACCGCCCACTTCGGCCCTGCTCGGCACTGAGCCCTGCCTTGGCGGTTGATTTAACATAAAGTCATTTTGTTTAAAAAAAAGTGTCAGAAAAGCTTCCCTAGGCAGACTGCGATCCCAAAATCCCGGGATTTTGGCATCGCAGGTTAGCAGCAAGAAATGTCCGCTGGGGAAGTAGCTTCCACCCCTCGGTCTCTTGAATCTTGACCTCTTCCCAGGGTGCAGGGAGGTTGCCATTGCTTCCCGGGATTCAGTGTGTGGAGCCAAGGAAGCCGGGGACAGGCGGCCCCGGTGTGGTGCTGCTGGTCACCGCTGCTGTGACGGGGGACAGGAGAATCGTGGCTGCGTGGCCGGCTCGCACCTCGGTATATGGTTGTTTTGGAGTTGGCAGGAGCATGTATGGGTGGTGGTGGTAAGGTGAGAATAGTAAAGAACAGTGAATTAAGTGGAATTCAGAATACTTCTTGACTATAAAAGCTACACTTTTCAAGGCAACCATTGGGAAAGCATCAGTATTTGCAGTTACGGCAAGAATTGGATTCATGCTTTTATAGTTCAGGATTTGGTGACTGAAAAGCCAATGATGAGTTGGTTGTGGTTGTTTCTGTTCATGTGAAGTTGTGTGTCTGCCCTTCTTAAAGGTGTCTAAAACACACCTAGTGGGCAGTGAACTTAAAAGACTTTTCTGTCGTTGTTAAAAAAGCTCCTTTGATGACACATGTGAAGAGAACCTCTTTGGATCAAAGCATTAAAAAATAAAGGGCCCGAGTGCTTTTTGCAGAAGATAACAGATTCTTGCTCTCTGTGATGAAATTCAAAATCTTTCACTCACCATGGGACCAAAGTCAAATGTTTTTAGGTAGTGTCATCGGTATTTATGGAAAGGCTTTCTTTGTTGGCTGTTTTGCATCCTTAAATACCATTGTTTCTCAGTATGTATCTTTGTGATTTGTTTACTATTCTTCAAAATAATTAAGATGTAATTAAGAGAGAATGTAATTGTTTAGATATGGAAGGACAATTCACATCTAAACTCTAGCCTACAGGGGTCATTAAAAAACTAAACGAAGAACACATAGTTTGGAAAGCCATAGCTTACTATGCCCAGAATTGAGCTGCTCAGAAACGATGAAATAACAAGAAAAAAAGAGAGAGAAAAACAGAAATGAGGTGTAAATGGTCAGGCAGCTTAAAACTGAATCTACAGACAAGGTGTTCTTTTTAATTACAGGGTTAAAAGGTTTTTTTTCCTCCAGTTAATTTTTATTTTCCTTGTATATTATTTGATGCTCTTTCAGTTAGTTAATTTAGACATGGTCTCATTTCTTGTTTTCTCAGGTTCTGGATGAATAAACTTTGTTTGTAATGCTGACATCTAGAAAGTAGCAGGCCCAAATCTTTTGTTCTCTCAACAGTAATACAGAGGATACAAAATTGTCCGTGAATATACCAGCTACTTTTAAAGCCTGTTTTTAGAGGAGTCATAAGGCTTTTCAAGTAACTTGATGAACTGGAGAGATTGTTGATCCCATCTAATGTGTCTACAGTGCAGGTACCAGAGACAATGTACTAAAATTTTGAACAGGGCTCAGCAAGTTTGAGAGCCATGCCATTTTGAGAAAGGCATGAGGGATCTGTTCCCTAGTTGGGGAGGCAGAATCTCCTCAGCTCCCCAGCTTTGTTTAGTTTCTGTATTTGCAAATTATGTTTTGTCAGTAGGTTTTCTGCTGCTGATCCTTTAGCATACTTATGATCTGCTCACTGATTGCTTTCAGCAGTGAGGAAGCCAGCTGGAGAAGTGACTGCCCTCAGTTTGCTTCATCTGGTAATTATTAGAGTGGGAGAACCTGTTGGACAAGGTGTTTAAGTTAACTTAACCCACACATCGTGGAAGGAAAGCAGAGAGGTGGATAAGTGGGTGAGGTATGTGGAGGGCTCTGTAACCTTCAGGTGAGGGGTGGTGACAAGCAACTGGCAACAGAGGAATCCTGTGTGTGAGTCCTCCCTACTACACCTTTCTTGTGTCTGAGGGCAGGGTCTACTGACTCCTTGTCACTGTGAGACCAAGCTGGCCTCTTTTTGTGTTTGAATCTCTTCTCTTTGTCCAACACCATAATTTATTTTCTTTAATTCCGTATAATCACCCACCAGCCTACTTCCTAGGGTTACAGACAGTTGTTATTTTCACTCATTTTCAATCTGCTTTTTTTTCCCTGCAAATGGGCTATTTTCATGCTTTGTTTCTCCATCACTCTGCCTTTTCATCTGCTTTCAAGCTGTAGGGTCAGTTGTGCCAGCCCTGGGTACTGGGCCACCACTTGCTTTCCATTAATTGGCCACTGCAGGAACCTGTTGAAGCATCTGCCAGTCATGGTGACTGCTCTCTAGTACAGGTGAATGCCTTTTAAATGACTGGTAAGCCACCCACAGGGTTGAATTGTGAGTCATCTCATCATTATCCTCAATTCACATCTTCTAACCTTTCTTCCCTTTGCATTTCTGCGCTTGTTGCTGAAATTGCAACTGCCAAAGGTCTTCGTCAAGTCAGGTTTTCTTCTTGACCAAGTGCCCTTGATGCCTTTGGTAGTCTCACAAAAGTGCCTAATTGTGTTTTTAATGCCATTTGAATATTTTCTCCTCCCTGAGATTTATTTTGTGGATTTTGTCTGTTGAATCCCTTTATTTCTGTTATGCCTAATCTCAGTATACCTTCATCCAAACCCAGAAATTCAGTTGATGGGTTTTTTTTTTCCAGGGTCTATATCTGCTCATCACACCTGTCACATCCTGCCCCAGATGAAAGGGCATGCTTGTTTCTCTGATGTATTGAAAACACATCCCTGCATCTTTTTTTCCCCATTTTCTTTTTCACTGACTTGTGTCAATAATTCAGGCACCATTTTTGAACTGGAATTTTCCTTGCTCAAATATTTTAATTTGCTGATTTAGCTTGCTGTGTAATGCAGTGTTTCTTGTTTGAGCATAAAGCTCCTAAGATTCAGTTCTCTGGTTTGTGTTAGCTCTTCTGCCCTTTCTTCTAGAAACTTGCAACATACAGCCTTTACCTCTTACTTTGGCCAGGTGTCTTAATGTTCAGTGATAATTGCAACTGGCAGCATTGCTGGAGGTTGCTGTTTGGTACATCGTGTGTTAGGAGACATTTGGGTTGCAACAGAGTAGTTGTAATGGCTGGGCAAATACCCTTGTTCAAGACTTACAAATATCCCAAAGAATCTACTCAGAGAGTACTGATGTGGGTGTTATCCCCAGTATTACGATGTTTTATTAACATTGTAAGGTCTGAATTTTACCCAGACAGTTGCCAGAGGCTGTCAGAAGGCCTCTGATAATCTGCATGCACAAAAATACATAGATTGTGAGTGCCTGCATGTAGATACATGTGCAACTCTTGTAGATACATGTGCTGCTCTTGCATAATGTGTGTTGGTCCTTTGTACTGAAGTGCTGGCACTGGATGTGTTTATATTAACCCACAGTCTGGTGCCCCACAGGCAAGGGTGTTAGAATATCACTTGAGTGTCAAATGGGATTTAAACTGTTGGTTTGTGTAAGAGGTACAATAGCTGTGGAATGAACAACTATTGATGGCCATACTGTTGGCTTCTCTCTTAGTTGTCACCAGTGATATATAAAGCTGTAGCACTTAAAATATAAGAAAGATACTAATTGACCACTGTTATTCCTATACTGTCAGGTTAGGCTGTTTTTCATTGTAGGAACTGTGAATAAATTACCTTTGCTACAGAGGCTAATGGGTATAGCGTGTTGCCTTTTTAAAATTAGACTAAGACTCCATTTCTGTAAGTATGTATAAATAGATGTGATTATGCTAAACTGAAAATCTGAAAATGTTAGTGTTAATAATATCTCTTTGCTGGTCCTACAACATTGTAAGTGTTTCTGCAACATCTTTCTTTTGCTGCTTTCATGCAAAATACAGAAATAATCAATCTCAGTCATGCAGTGGACTGTGAGCGCTCTGTACTGATTGAAATTCTGGGTGTTGTTTGTCAGATATCAGCAGAAATCCCTTTAGACTGAGAGAGCTCTAGCTCTTCCTATCATACTTTTCTTGAGTGGTTAGCTCAGTCAGACTGAACTATTAAAATAATCTCATTTTTATTAAAAAATTACATTGGTCACTGACCGGTACTGTAGGAGATGATTGTAAAGAAAATAATTCAAAGATTATACCTTACATGAGTCATTAATCATGAGTCATGATCAGCAGGCAGTGGTATCCAATTTGTTTTCTAATCTTGCACTTGCTGCTGTTCTTTATTACCATAGTGATAATATTAAAGAGCTGTTAATGCATATAACCACGCAGTTGAATATGACAGACTCTTTTTTCATTGGAATAAAATTTCCATATCTTAAGTTTGTTTTGCTCAGTATATTTCTTGTCAGGAGAAATTCAGTAGTATATAAAAGCCATAAAATAGTTCATGTCAGTAAGTGGTTAAGTTAGCAGAGCAGCCTTTTTCCCCCTCTCCTTTTTGCTTTCAAGCCAGTCATTGGGGCTTCCTAGAGAATTCGATCTAGTCTGTTTTAGTATGAGAGCTGGGGACACCTTGTATTCATTAAAAATTGGGAATTGGTTGTTCAAGGTACACTTTACAAGGATTGGCTGCACTGTCCATGTATTTCATGTTTGTTCTCTCCCGAGCAAAAGCTAGCGGCTGGATGGAAAGTTTTATTGCTTTAATATGCGGAGGAATGACTACTGAGATTTTAGAGAAAAGGGGAAGGCTGTCTCTCTCTTGAGAGACTGAATATAAAAAGAACCAATTAGGAGAAATGAGCTTTAGAAACCCATTTTCACTCTTTAAATAAAATTTTAAAAGCTCTGAAGGGTGGTAGCAGAAGTGTTGCTGACTATTAGAATGTGCATAGATGCAGAGTGTTTGGGTGCAGCAGCAGTCAGGGCATGTTTTTTTATGAAGTAATGAATCTTGCATTCAATTTGATTTTAAACTTAATTAAATTTTGTAATTAGTTTTATTAGTTTACATTTTGGAAAGGTTCATTGTGACAGATTAAAGCCTTGTTTGCCAACAGCTATTAAAAAATCATCCCTTTAAGTTTTCTTGTGCAGATGATTTTATAATGCATAGATTTGTGTAGGCCTTACTAGTTTCTTTGTGTTGAGTTTGTGAGATCCTGTGGTATTGCTGGCTGCAGTTTGGCAGGACAGGTATGAATCTACTGGACTAGATGGCTCTTCACAGTTGCCTGGTATTGCTGCATGTACCTTCACATCCCATAGTGGGATTGCTCTGCAAACTCCTCCTCCCTTTGAATGAGGACTATACCTGCACCAAGAGAAGCATTTGCAAGTTTAGTGTAGAATGGTACAGCCAGTGACAAGTGTTCACCTGACAGGGCTGTTCACTTGTTTCATTAGGAGCTAATTGTCTGTGGTTTTTAATGTGCATTTCCTTGATCATGTGTAAATAATAAAGGTTTTCAAAAATGTTGAGTCTGTAAGATACCCTGAACGGAGCATACAATGTAGCTGTCACCAAATTCTGTCTCAGTGAATGTGTTTGTGTTCTGAGTTCACCTGAGAAAAACTTACCAACAGCTGCTTGCTAATTTTGAAAGTATCTTGTTTCTGCCAAATACAATTCTGGAAAAAAGAAGATCTTTTCCCAGTTATCAAAAAATGAGCATCTACCATGTCTTCTGAGTGGCCAAGCCCATTAAAAAGTAGGTTGGGGCGAAGGTAGGACTACTCTATCAAATTGCAAAATAACAAGCATATTTTTGCCATGTCCTGTGGGGATTCTTTTGATTCCCATTCTGATTGGTGTCTAAGATGACTTTATTTCCAGATCAGCTGTTTTCAGTTCAGGCTTTACCCAGTTTCTTTCAAGTCACTCGTAAACTGCTTTCTCCAGTACACCCATTTCCAGAGTAAATAAATTAAGGCAGAGATGCAGATCAAGTGATAATTACTTTCTTGTTATTTCCTGATCTACAGTTGTACCCTGTAGAGTGGAAATAGCAGAGGAATAGGCCATGGGTACACTGGTACACAGAGATACTTTACAAGTATTATTACCTGTATAAAAGGCAAGTATGGCACTCAATGCATAATATTGCTGCACACTTCTCATCCTTTGGAGCACTGCACAGACTCTGTGCCCAAATGAGATTAACTCAAAGTGCTACTGGGATGACTGGGAAAAGCACATAGCAATCAAAGGCTAGGCAGGCTAATTAGTTTTAAGATAAGGTGTGACAATTGTGTTAATGGAATTAGGTGACAGGGAGCAGACTTCAATATTAGAATGATCTTCAGTTCTTAATTTTTAAGTTCCTCCGGTATTTCTCTGGGGCAGGTCTTGCTCTAATAGTTGCTTACAGAAAAGCAGGACATCCAGATCTTGAAAGTTGTGGGATTTGATAGGATTTTTCCTCCATTATAGGTGTGTTTGAAACTTTCTTTGAGGGAAGGGTGAGAGAGGGTTTGGAAGAGTAATACAGAGTAAATTGATCAAGTGGAATATGTAGATTTTTCTGTAGTTTTTGAGCCTCTTTTGCTTTCTGCACACAATAACTTTTTTGGTAAATTTTAAAAGGAAATATTTTAAAAGGTGCTAATACCTGGCTTAACTACTAAAATCACTCCATAAAACAACTTCTGTTTACTTGTGATGGTAGATTCAAATGAAGAATTTTGCTAATATAGTTTGCAGTGATTTCTGCCAACTGTTATGATTGTATCACCTGTATATTAGCTGCTGCTGTCATACTTCCCTCTTTCTCAGAGGACTGAAGTGGATTTCAAAAGAAGTTTCCTAATTTTTTTTTCCCCCTCACTCCCTGTATTTCCAGAAATGGCCCTTGCTCTGTGGAAGAACTTTCTTCAGATTACAATGAAAAGGATACTACAGCAAAGAAGGTTGTCACTGTATAATGGTGCTCATGGCTATGAGGAAGAATTGATAAAGAAGAAACTTCAGCAGTTTTCTGGTGGATCTGTCAACCTTGTGAAAGAAGACAATGGCATTGCAATACTTACTTTGAATAACCCCAAGTTAATGAATGCTTTCACAGGTATTAATTAGTTGAGGGGATTGCTGGTTGGCTTTGGTCTTTCTCTTGTTCAGTTACCTATTTTGACATTTTGCCTAAAGAAAGATAAACACTCTGCTTTACCACGCCTTAGAAGAGTAAATGTGTTTATTCTGATGTGCAGCAAATGTGTCCAGTGTTTTGTAGTAACTTTGCTATACATGTCATAAGAATCTAAGAAATTCTCAATGACACAAGGACTGTCTTGCAGAAGGTGCTTCTCCCCATGTTGTTTAAGTGTTAGCACAATTCTGCCCCTGAGCTCTTTCTTGCACCTCCTCTCATTTTGTCATCACTGCTCTGGAAATATGGAAGGCATTTCTGTGGGCAGGAGACAATGCCACCTCCCTTTTGTAGGTGATAGAGAAAGACTGTGTTTATTGCTTGGTTCTTTAGCTAAAGCCTTCCCTGTACATTAAACTTCTGTAGTTTGGTCTTTTCCACTTACCCAAACTGGCTTCCATTTGTTCTTCATTTGCCTTATGTCTTAAATATCAGTGACTGGTTAATTAAAGATCAGATGAGCTGGGTATTCTCAGCTGTTGCAGGTCAGTGATCTATTTAATATGCTTTTACACTGGGGAATGCTTAGCTGTCAAAACCAAGTGCCCTATTTTATTAATCTTGTATTATGAGAGGGTTTTGTTCTCCAAGTTGAGTATATTTGCTGTCTCTTCTTAATTATCTAGATTATTTCAATTTATGTCACTCTCTTCAGATATGAGTGGCACAGGTCCAGGGTGTGAACCTGCTTGAGCTGGAGCTGTGCATAAGCCTTTACTGTAAGAATTATTTTATCTGTTAATATTTTGATGTGGATGCATTTGTGTCATCTTGCTAATTTCTTTGTTGCTGTTCTGTCTTCCTGCCCAGTTCTCACTGTTCCTTTGCTGTGAGCAAACATTTTGCAACATACTAGCAAAGTATGCCCTTTAGATGCAGAATGCCAGTCTGTTCTTTCCACTAGTGTTTGTTAGCTGTAAGGAACCTAGGAGAGCAGCAGAATTGGTGGTAATGCACCCAGATGTTTCTGCATTCTCTTTTGTTTTGCTTACAAAACTCATGTATAAAATCATTACCTAACTTAAGAAATTGTAGCTAAAAGATGTTAGCATAGGGATTGTCCTTATGCACGCCTCCCTGTCAGCATACATGCTGTTATACAATCATAATTACATGGTTGTTTCTCCTTTTTCTACAGATTGGTTTCTGTTTTTGACTCAAAACAAAACTGTGCAGAGTACACCCTGTAGACTGAGTGCTTTTAGCTTATGTGTTGTGGAAGTTGAAAGGGGCATGCAAAGTGAGCTGTAACAGCAAAAGGAGAGAGCAGACTGGGTTTTTCTGCTCTTTGAAGATCAGGAGTAATAAAAGTAAAATTGCTTAACCCAAACTTTCATAGAAACTGGCAAATATGCTCTCTGTTTTCTGTGTGCTTGCCCGGAGGGGCTCAGAAGTGATTGGTAGCCATGCTGAGCAGATGCAGCTGCCATTTAGGCAACAGATAGCTGTTCTTTGCCTATACAGTGTTCTGTGTAATGTTAATGTGCTGAAATCATATCACACATCTGGAGATGAGCACCCAAAATTAGCAGACATTTTCTGTCTGGCTCAGTTAGTTGTCCGTAAAATAATCTCTTCTCTCCTTACAGGACTGCTGTGAAAATAACTTATTAGTGTATGTCAATTAGATGTTCTAGTAGCAAAGAGCTACAAAAACCACTGAGGAAATTAATAGCTCTGTCTTTGTTACAGATCCTCATTAGCATATAACAAATGAGCCATGGGATCAGGCAGTTCTGTTTTAAAGCAGTGTGTAGAGAGCTGTACTCCATTTTGCTAGGCAATAGCCTCAAAAAATTGCTCAGGCAGATCTTACTGTCAGTTCAAGAGATGCTGCTTCTTTCTGCTGTACACCTCTGCTAGAGACCTTTGTTTTCAAGCGAGGGAGAGTAGAAGCAAAATCAGGCTGATCCCTTTGCTGCTGCAGTGAATGGTATGGCATCCTAATTTATACTGATCTTAATTTCATTTTTAATATTATTATTTGTAAAATGCAGTTGCTGAGAAACTACTAGGAACTTAATCCTTTGCCTTCAGTTATGTATCAAATAATGCTCTTCAAGGGGCAGGATGGGGTGTGCTACCCCTGAATTGCCTCAGCAGAAGCTGGTTCACTTCATCAGCCAGAGCCTGCAGATACAGCTACCTCCCCATCAAATTCTGTTGATTCTGTGTCTCAGAGCTTCTGAATAGGGGCAGGTGTGAATTCATATATCCATGCACACTTCCTCTCGAAAGCTGCAAAACATTATTAAACTGTTGAGGGAAATTCTATTTTCCAGGCATTTACTTTACACAGCAGTTTTTTATCTCAAAGGAATTATGTTTATTCTAAGCTTGAGCAACTCCTGAAATCAAAACCAGAACAAAATTGTTGGCAAATTGCTAATGGGCGATATGGAGATTGTTATGCCTTTTTTCTCTTCTTAATTGGAATCTAATAGCCACCTGTTCGAAATGGTCTCTCTGGAAACAAATGCTAATAATGTCAATTTAAGCCTGGTAGAGCCAATTTCAGCAACCCAGCCTCTCACTGAACTAAACTTGAATGTAGTTTAAAAGAGAAGAAAGCTGGCCTGTAGGAACTAGAAAATAGTGATGATAGTTTTTATTTTCTAGAATTTACTCGAAAATATTTATGCTCAGATTATAGCTAAAATGCAAACAAACTATTTATTATTAATTCTGTAAAAAGCATGAACTTAGTGGTATCACATACTGAAAGACTAAGATTGACAGAATGAGGATTTGCTTTAGTGTTGTGCCTTCTTCATTATGTCAAACATCAGGAAATATACCTGTTGGTAAAATAATAGTTCAGTGTTGTCAGGAATGGAAAAGAGCCTCTCACAGGAGGGTAGGACAGGCGCTGTCTTTTATCCCCTGCTATTGCATGTAACAAGCTCATATGGATCCTGCATTTTTTCAGTTAACTTGATTTTTTTCTTGGAATACTCTGTGGAAAGACTTCAATACCTCACTGCTTTGCCCATTAAAAGAACCACAAATAGTGGTTCTGCTGTATTTGACTCTAGCAATGCTTGGATGCCATCCCAAATACTCTTCTGTTAAGATTTAAGAAGGGAAATATGCAAGAAGTTAAGTCCACAGGGTTAATGCACACCTGTTTGAATGGCAGGATTTGCAGAAAAGTTGAGTGTGCCATCAGGCTGGAAAAGCATTTCAAGTGAAGACCCACAAAAATCTCATCTAGGCCCAGTTCTGCTCAGTATTTTCATTCTTGGCTTGGATGATGAAGCAAAAAGTGAACTGCTGGAATGGTCACATGACCACATATTAGGAGAGCTTGCAAGATTATTTTTTGGAGTAGAGTGATCTTGATTAGCTGCTGCTAAGAGCTCAAGATCAACAGGGTGAAATTCAGTGAAAACAAATGTAATGTGCAATATACAAAAAGCATGACCAAATTATAAATACAGAAGGGAAAGCAACTGGCAAAACTGCTGGGATTTTTTAGGGGATCATAGTAGGGACTTGACAGTGGGTACACAAAAACCCAACTCTATCCTATTCTGGTATATAATATGTAATATATATAATATGTAATGTCCACTTGATTATTGGCTACCTCAGAAACATTGTCAAAGTGTATTATTGCAGTGTCTGACACCAAACCTAAGGGATAAATACTTGACCGAGTGCTCACTCTTGATGTGGGACTGGGAAGCTTACTTCATAATGTGCTGTAAGGAAAAAAAACATAAGAAAGAAAACATAAATGTCCCCTGGACTAGCTGCTAATGGGATATTTCAGAAGAGGATGAGTCGTGTGCATGCATGCATAGGGTTAAAAAAGCAGCACTGTTGGCAGAGGAGAGAGTCCTTGGAAGTATTAATCAAAAGCACGTGTCTGTCAGAAGAATGTAGCCATGTCCATCTAAATTCTTGTCAAAGAAGGGTAAAGCTGAGAGTGTCATCAGCCTGTATGTACTCTGCTTTCTGAAATTAGTTTCTGTACATGTTTTCTCTTAAGTATATAACTGGACTGAGTCATAGGCATTCAGAGAGGAAGAGCTTTGAATTAATGCAGGTACATTCCATTGCTGTGGAAGACGCTGCTGTCTAGGATGAGCTCTAGAAACAGGAGTTTGTAGAGTTCCATGTCAGGAGGAGTACTTAAGCAAATATGATGTTTATGACATTTTATGATGAATTGGATGTTTAAACAAGAAACAAAAAGCTAGTACTGTATGATGATATGCTTTATAAAGAGAGTCTTTTTAGAAGGGAACCTTTGTTAACATTGACTGGTTGTGCCTTGAGTCCACCCTGGACACGATTCTTTTCTGCTCTCTGCCCAATTGTTTGGGCAGGGAAGAATGTCAGTAACTTCAATATGACTAGTTGGACAGATCTGGATCAATACATATAAATTCATCTGTCCTGGATGTATGCAATTGCAAGCAGAAATAAATTAGGCAGAGGATTTTGTTTGTTGGTTTTGTTTGGTTTTGTTTTGGAGCTTTCTTGAGTATAACACAAATATCCTTCATACAGAATATCCTTTTGAATTTTGGGAAGTGTATCCTTGGAGAACAAATGTATGCCAGTGATTGTGTGCAGGATTTAGGATGATACTTTCTGTTGTGATTTTAAGCCCATCACTTATTGACTGTAACTTGGTTTTGCTGGTGGAAAATGTAACAAAAAACATGATGGTGATAATAATTTCCTGTTAAAAATTTTGTTTCTCCCCTCTTGTGGCAGGCACTATGATGGTAGAACTCCAGGAGAGGGTAACTGAACTGGAAAACTGGAAGGATGGCAAAGGTCTTATAATCCATGGTGCAGGAAATACTTTTTGCTCAGGATCTGATTTGAATGTTGTCAAAGAAATATCCAATTCCCAGGCAAGTATTAATATACATTAAGGTTTTGGAGAAAATTAATTTTTTGAGATTCTTTTTAGACAGAAATGTTGCACTACACTCTGCAATTTTACATACAGGTCACAGAATGGAGTTTTAATGGTCAAAAAAAATGCTGTCAGCTCCTTCAAGCTGTGATTTAAATGTTATTGTAAATGATTCATAACTCTAAAGTCCTACACTAGATATTCATTTTAGCCTTTTCTTTTAAAAGTGTCATTTCAGTTTCTCACAGCAGTATATGGTGAATTTTCACGTCAGATAATATGTGCTTCTGTAGTTTGACCTTTAGAAAGAGATAAAAGTAATAATTTCTCATATTCTAAAGTTAAAAAAAGAAATTTAAGTAGAATGGCTGCTATTATAGAAAGGTTTCTATTTTATCAAAACTGCGCTTGGACCTGCATGAAATGGAAGAACAGATGCAGTTCTTGCGCTGGACTTGAATCATGTGAGTCTTGTGTGTGTCTGTGAAGTTGCAGAGCTTGGGGTTTGATGGCAATTTTTTGCTCATGCCACCCATTGGACAACTTTCATGTGTGCTACAGTTCTTTCTGTGGGTTATTATGTGGATTTGGCAATGTGTTTAATAGGACTTTGCCAACTGCCACGGAAGAGGGTCTTCCTGTGCTGCTCTTAGACCTGGTTTGCAGTTGTGCTAAGTGCCAATCCTGCTGCTTTTTTGTGGCCCCTGCAAGCTTCAGGATTTAACCATGTAAATGAAACATTTAATTGGCCCTTCCAGTATGACTATCAACACAAAAACTGGTTAATTTGATATTTGTCTTTAGTGATGATTTTTTTTTCTGTTGATAAAACTAAATATCGTGAACTCCACTATTTTTATTTTTGGCCTTGTAAAATAAAAAGGACAGTCCAGTTTTCAAAGGGTATAGGACACTTTGTTTCCTTTTGGGAACACCATAAGAGAGATGCTTTTCTTAATACAGAAATGTCATGCTTTATAGTATAAATGGATTTGGGGGACGTTTTCATCTGTATATTTTATAAAAACTGGCAATTTAAAAAATATAGATGTAGATGTGATTTTTTTCTAAATTGAATTTTTTTTTTGATCTGCAATTTTTAACTTCTTTGAACATTATACCAACAGAAAAGGAGGTGAAGCCAAGCAAGGTCAGTTCTTTCCTTATTTGCAGTCTAGGCTTTCCTTTAGAAATCTGCATTCAGTAAATCTCAGTGATTCTGCTTCCATGCATTTCGTATTCTGTCTATATGCTTATACAAATTACTTGGAGCCACTGCAATGGCAGAGAGGGCTCTTGCAAGGACTAGGTTTGATAAGTGATATACTGGACAGAATGAAATGTATACGTGTTATAACTTTGTTGAGAATTCTCTACACATAATCTAGATCTCATTCTAATATTGAAATTAAAGCCTGAGTCACCAGAAATGCTCCAAGAATAGTTAAACATAGTTGCTTTTCTATTTCCATTGGAGACTTCAAGCTATTTATCTTTTACTGAGAGTTTCTTTATAGTAGCTCCTAAAGCATCTGTTTGGTGGGATTAATAGTCTTTATTAAATAAAGCTTTACTAGAATATGGAATAGCATTTGCTGTTCTTCAGTCTTACAGAACTCTTCTCTCTAACTTCATGCAGATGAGAGTGTTTGTCTGGTTTCAGGTTAAGTTTTCTGTCCATAGGCATCTTCAAGGCAAAATCAAAAAAAAAAAGGTGAATGACTTCATGCCTGAACTGGTATGTCTTTCACAGTATCACAGAATATTCTGAGTTGGAAGGGACCCACAGGGATGATCGAGTCCAACTTTTAAGTGAATGGATTGAACCCACAACCTGTCATTATTAGCACCATACTCAAACAACTGAGCTGTCCTTTACAATTTTTTCCAAGGCTGCTTTAGCCCATATCTTTTAGTAATTGCAGAAAACACTTTAATTTTATCCAACAGGTTGGTTGAGGGAGGACTGTATTTTTCATAATTTTAGGTACAGTTTGCTTTTCCCTGTGGTGCAGAATCGGCAGAATAATGGCCAAGAATGCTGAAGGATTTTCGTGCCCCCTAGTGGCTCTTTGTCCTCCTCTCCCACTTCATTCCTTTCCCCTTTCTTTGTCCACCTTCTCCCGTGTTCAGTTGTTCCTAACTCTGAAGCAAACCTAGGTCCCCTGCCTGTTTTCTTTTCTGAGTGCTAACATTACATCACCAAATCACAAAAGGTAAATGAATAGTGCAATTTAAATAATTTTTTTCCCTTCTGCCTTTATAAGGCTTTGTAAGCTGTTCCCAGTGCAAGAACCTCATTCTGGAGTGAGACTTGAAAAGTTGCCTAGCTGAAAAGCAAGAATAGCTCTTAAAGCAACAGCTCAGAAGAAGAAGCACAAAAGATAACTTTGCTTTCCTTGTCCCTGTCTAGAAGCCCTAGGACAGAGGTTCCCAAACATAAGCTGTGGAGGGAGGACTTTGGAGCAATTGGAGATAATATGTAAATTATGTTCTGTCTGTAGTGCAAATGGATTCAAAGCTCTTGCAGCAATAAGAGTCAGCATTACAGTTTTCTACTTTATGAAGGTGACTTTCTTCTTCCCTGCCTCTCCTAGGCCCACACCGAGCTATTAATCCTTTTCTTCCATATGTAATGCATTTTACTGCATTTTACCTCCCTTTCTGCTAGTTAGATATCTTCTTATTTCAAGGACAGCATTAGAGCTGCAAATATAATTATTCTACTAGACTGCAGTGAGCACCTCTTAGTCAGAGAATTTTATCTGAATAGTAGCCTTATTTTTCTTGTCAGGAAGGTTTGAAGGGTTTATTTGCCGGGACTCAAGCAATTGCTTTTTTTTTTTTCCTGGGTTGTTTTTTTTTTTTTTTTTTGAGGAGTGTTTTCTGTGCTGTCATTTTTTCCATGGGATACGCAGTAATCTCTCTACCACCTGAGAGAATGAAGACTTTATTTTTGTCTGCTCAGACATAAATGCATTTTTCAAGTTTGTCTATTCTGGAATTAATCTTTAATTACCATTTTGGATTTTGTCATGAGTTGAGAAGGCCAGTTTGAATGCAAGGATTCTGCTGTGATGAAGTGAAAAATTGTGTTCTCTGAAGGGCTTTTGTGCAACTTCATCCTGACAGTTGTAATTTGGGAATTGCGCAAGTCTTTAGCTGAGAACTGGTACCTTGGATGTTTGTGTGGGATTTGAACTTAGCTACTAAGGCAGCTATCACAAAGGGTTTGAGTGTTCTTTAATTTGGAATGGAAATATTGCATCTGTTCTTTGGGGGTGTAGGAGATGGCTACAGTGATAAGTAAAAGCCTTTTTATAAATCATCAGCTGCTAAAGTTTTCAAGCAGCCCTATAGTGCAGTAAAACTAAATACACTGGTTCTTGCAGAACGATTGTCATGGCACTCAGATCTGCCAGAGATGTGCACCTAAACATCATAATGCTGGTTGGCTTTGGGCAGAGTAGCTCTTGGGAATACACGACTAAATGGACAGTAAATCACCTGCAGTTGGCCTACTGTTATTTCAAGGCTCTATTCCAAAGATGTACTGAGGACTTACTGCATATATTTTCTTTCCCTGAGTCAGAGGCTTTTAATTTAGGCAGGTTCTCTAAGTTGCCAGCTTTTGTAAAACTGTATTTTAGAAATTAGTAAATTCTGGTAAAGAGATATTTGATTTGGTTTGTTTGTTTTTGGTTTTCTTTATTATCTGAAAGATGTGCTGAAATTTTTACCTACTTTTTTTTATTTCTGCAGTGTCCAAGCATAATGTTTTCGTTTTATCTGGGATAAATAATATGTGTTGTTCAGTTCAGTATGTATATGAACATGGTGGTTCTAGATTATTTAGCCCAGTTACTTGTCAAGTTCCTGCTTAACTCTAGATGTCTAAGAAGGAGGATAACAACAGGGAGGGCAGATAGATAATGATTTTGTCTCAAAATATTTTCTTAGCTTCCAGCATCTTGTGACTAAGACTTCTAGAGCTAGAGGTGTTGCCTTCTATGTAATAGCCTTTTGTTGATGTTCCTGTTGTGAGTTTATGTAGTTGCTCTTGAAATCATGTAGAGGGTGCTGTCAAGTGTTCCACATTTTAACTACACGTTGTAGGAATAAATATTTGTTTTGAATGTGTTTTATTTGGAGCCCTTTAGTTCTTGTACTAGATGAGAAGTAAATGATTGTATTTTTTTCACTGTTGATTGCAAGGAAGTGTAAAACATAAAGGATGTGAGACATAAGAAGAATCCTCTTTCTGATTTGGTTTTTAATTTGTTTCGGTGTTTTGTGGTTTGGTGTTTTTAGTTTCCTTTTTCTTAGCTGAAATGCTTTTGGCCCAAACAATAAAAGATTAAATTGGTAAATTGTATCTTATCTAAAACTTTATGGATTTGGGACAGTGAAAAGTATGTAGCACACTGTGGCTTTGTACAGAATTTAAAAACTCAGATTTATGTGTTTTCAACTTGAAGTGAGAAGAGGAAATTAAGAGGAAACACAAAAGTTTCACAACATAGAAATTCAGTATTGCAATTACTTTAACAGTTGCTTAATTTTAACTGAAATTTATATAAGTCAGTTGGGTTCTGATTTGTTTTTTAACCTGATTTATACTAGGTTTTCTATTTGTGCATAGGAGGGTTGGGCTAGAATTTGGGCAACGTGAACCAGAGACAAAACCCAGCTGAAGTAAATATAAAGAATGCTTACTCCTCTTTACTTTGTCTGTGTGTTTAATTGCTTCACATTAAGATCATGTAACATTTTTTAATTTCCTATTCATTGTAGGATGGGATGAATATGTGCATGTTTATGCAAAACACCTTAACCAGACTTATGAGGTAATATATTTTATTTACCCATCTATGAAGTAATTATAAGTATCAGAATGTATTTTGGCTAATTCTTTAACGAGATGTTTAAAGATAAATATGTATGTATGTATGTATGTAAATATGTATGTTATATATGTAATTTTGAATCCCAGACCTTGTATTCACACATGTTAATCAGGTAGGTATTTATGGATTTAAATTAGACCTTAACATTTTGCAACTATTACACTTTCCAGAGATTGGAACAGGAAAAAAAAACCCAGGCTTATATGTGTAGAGCTAGGAGATATAAAGAATTAAGGAAATCTAAGACTTCAGATTTTCTGAAACTCAGCCTTTCTAACTCATTGGAAATTGGTAGCTCTTAAATAACAAGCAGTAACAGGTTATGCAGCCTACATAGGTAACATTTATTTGATATATTTATTTAATCTTCCCACTTCACAAGAGGAGTGTGTCAGTCCTACCATCTGGTAATTCTGAAAGCAACACCCTTTCCTTTAGACTTAGCTTCCCTTTAGAAGTCACGTTTCTATTAAATCCATTTGTGGTAGAGTCTATGTTTTTCTGCTTAGAGCTCCTTGAAGATGAATATTCTTTGTTTTCAAATATTCATTGTTATCAAATAATCTATATGAGAAAATGTTATGAATTAACATTTTTTCTGTAAAATTACCCAGGAGATTGGAAACTTACATTAGTAGTACTGTAAGGAATCCTCAGGATTGGAAGCCATTTGCATAAGCTTGTCTCCATATAATCGAAATTGATGGGGCAAAGCTAAGAGGAGGAAGATGTGTGAAGATTAAGTCCCCAGCTCAGGTGTGTAGACTTAGTGTATCTTTAAGCCATGGTTCAGGGGGAGCACTGAGCTGCTGTCTGGGGACATCTGTTGTAGAAAGGATTAGTCTTCCTCAGAGGTGAGGCTGACTGATCCTGAGAGAGGTGCCTCGAATGGATTAGAGTGTGGATGTAGCCATCTTGGACTCACATCTTCTGCTTTCTTGTAAAGCACAGGAAAAATGGCATTGCCCTCTTGCAGTGGGTTCTCTTGTGCCATGTATTGTATGAACTGTGCTGCAGCTTGTAAGGGAACTTGGGCTGTCAGAAAGTGTTGGTGCTTCTGTTGAAGGAGAACTAAAACCAAACATGTGGTTATGATTAGGATGCTGACTTCTGAATGTGGTTTGTAAACTGCTCAAAAAGCTCAATGTCTCTTCACAGTAAAAGATGAAACAGCTGTATTAATGTGCAAATTCTGTGACTAACCAGCTGCCTTCATTTCTTAAGGAACTTGCCTTATCCTAAGTCACTGTTCATTAGTATTCATTTCACATCAGCAGTGGGGAAACTTTTCCTTCCCTCTGTCCTTTGAATTACCTTGAACATGATTAAATACAACACCAACAAAGGTAACAGATTGCTGCTTTCCTCAAAAGGTTTTGTCTGCAAAAAAAGTTTTGTTGATGACTGAGATAGTAGCACTCTGTTTGAAGAAGCTGCTGAAGCTGTCATGGTAAATCTCATTAATTTTAGATAACTCAGCCCTTCAGTTCTTTGTGTCTCTTTCTGCTGCTTTCTGTGGTGCAGTGGCTTAGAGTAGAATCTTGTGTTGCTATCCTGTCACTCCTCACAGGTAGTCTTTTTTAGATATATTCTATAGCAGGTATTTTTCATAACATGTGTTTTTTAGTACGTGATCTTTATTTTGATTCCATTTAAAATATCTGTGTTGCTGTTTCATTCTGGGATTCTGTATCAATTATGCAATTGTAATTTTGACATAAGTGGAATTGGTGTTGTGCCAATTGCCCACAAAGATGTAGTTATTTGATTAAATTGGAACAGTATATTTTTCTCAACTTTCACTGTATAAATGGTTTGGTTGAATTGTTTTTTTAATTTCTGAAAGGCTAAAAGCATGAATTTTGCTTACTGAAGTCTCTTGTGCAGGTTGCCTTTGATCAGTGTTGCATTAGTTCAAGGAAAAGCTTTTGGAGGAGGAGCAGAACTTACCACAGCATGTGATTTCAGGTAAGGCTGACAAGTGTTATGTTGGGTCAGTGATTTAATGACGTTACCATGAGGTAGCACTTCTACCAGGAGTAACCTTCCTGGGTTCCAAGGCATTTGCAGCAAGATTTTGTCATCAGACTTCACAGGAAAAGTTGTGGTTTCTGCCAGGCTATGTGGTTTGAATCACTGCGTAAAACAAGAGCAGGAAGGTTCTTTAGCAACTGACTCTTTTACACACCAAGTGGGTCCAACTCACCCCTGAATGAGAGGTAGAAGGCTTGCAAAATTGTCTATCTCCCTGTGTTGCTTTTTGTGAATGTCATAAATAAAAATAAATAAATATCTTCATTACTCTTGTATTTCTTGTTTTGTGTTTATTATTTGTAATGTAATTTTGTGCTGCACAGCTGTTTAAACAAGAATTTGAGGTGCAGAGTAAAACAAATGAGGTTTCATCCCTGTTTTTTTTACCTGCAGGTGCAGGGATTTGCTAGCACAAAACAACTGGCAAAAAAAGGAGGGCTTTAATTAAACATGCAGAACAGGAATGGGAAGACACTAAAGTAATAAAATGTCACTTTATATAAACCATTGCTAATGTGGAAACAGCCTACAGGTGTAGCAGGATAAGCACTGTGGGCAGCATCTCTGAAAATGAGAAGCTTTTAGTGAGGTTTTCATCTAAGAAAAGAAAATGTGCTTTTGAAGAGGGCCTTAGTGGGAAAGAAATTGCCCCAAACAAGCTGAAAGAAGGTACACTCAAAAGTAAAGTAAACTAGAATATTACAGTGCTGTTCCAGGTATCAAGACCAGGCTTTGGATAGAGGAGATGATATCTGCATTGTCTGAGCCACTTGGAAGCAATCTTCCTTTGCTTTGAAAGTGGATGTGGCTGGATCTTTCTTCATCTCTGCTCAGCACACAGGGAGCTGAAGCCCCAGCTGTGATGTGGGTCCAGACTGTATTACAAATAGCAGAGAGGCTCTGTGTTTGACAGCTGCAGTGCTGGCAGGAGAATGCACCTGGGAGACTCAGCAGACCTTTCTGTATCTGTGAGCCTGTCGACAGAAAGTGTTTCTTGTTATCTCTAAATAGGCGTTTAGGGAATGGGAATATAATGAAATGGAAATCTTTTGGCTTTTTAAAATATGTTCTCTCTACTTACACTCCAGCTATGCTGTTTTGACATGCTGTGTAATTATAGGCATTATCAAGTAGCTGTTATTTGCATGAATTGAGCAGCTGCAATTCCTCTCATGCAGTGCCATAATTTTCATAATAACTACAGCTGTTGATCCATCTTCCATTACTTTCTACACACCCATCCACTGCAACTAAATAACTGCCATTCAGGAGCAGCAAATGGGACTTAATTAATAACAGCAACAAGACAGAGAAACATACTCTGTGCTGTTATTGCTCTTGAATTTGAGAATTTTGATACTGGTGGACAAAATTCCAGGGTTTTTTTGAGGACTGTAAGTAGATATTAGTGGAATAGGTATTCTGTCCACAGTCACTAGATGACAAAAGATGAACATGAGACAGAAATCAGAGATTTGTGTTCTTCATTGAATAATCTGTTTGAATGTTTTATTTTTAAAAAAACAAAATGAGTTTGTTGTGGTTGCTTTTAATTCTAGATTTTCAAATACAGTTCTGTTTTTCACAGTCTCTGTTTAAACTACCAAACTGCTTGGTTTTGGCCTGAAATATTTTCTTATTTTTATCTCTTTCCCTTTGTACTACATTAACTATACTGATATTGTTTGAGCAACTCACTTGAACCAAAAATGATCTAGGTACCTCCTCTGAAATGTGGTCTGGCAGCATGATACGTATCTCTACTAAAGTAGAGGTGTGGACAAGTCCTTTTTTAAGATAGCTGAGGTGGCTTAAGAATTAGTGATACATTCTTCCTGTAGCAGTTCTTGTGGCTAATTGTCCCACTCTGTTTTAAGCTGGCTCATTTTAAATTGGATTGGGGCTTGTGTGAACTTTGGCATGTTTATTGCTGAAATAAGGACAATGATAAAAAGTGAAAGCATCTGAGGTTAGTCCACCCTTAATCTGGAGGAAGATGTCTTCTCCAAACGTCATCTTCAGTCTTAGCTGTTTTATGTGTTGCTGCAGTATGGCTCTCCAGAAAACTAGTGTCCTTATAAAGATCATAAACATGTTACTGGAGGAAAAAAAATCAGACCAGTCCAGACAAGGGCAAGGTTATTAAATTCCTTTCAGACTTTTTCTGGTATGAAAATTGGAAAGATAAAGCTTCTGACACTAGAATTATTCATTTCAATTATTACTGCAAAACTGGGTAATGTAGAAGGATGCAAGTATGAAACTTGCTCAGACAGCTAAGCATGTTAGTAATATTTTCAAGAAATACTGACTTTTTTCAATGTGCCATAGTTGAGCACATGAAGGTGCCTCGTGTTTTCTGCTGCCAGATATTAATGTGTTTTATAGCTCTGCATGACACTGCAGCCATTTCAGTGAGGTGCAGAAGTGAATGTGATGTTGGATTTACTGATGGAATTTCACAAATAATTGAGGTGTCTGCTTTGGATTCCTTTATGCAGAAACTTGAAATGTGTCTTGTGCTTACACAATGTGTGAAGACAAGGAGAGCAGATTTGGCAGGATTGGCTGAGGACTTCAGACAGGAAAATAGGAATGGTCTTGGATTGTTGGACAATAAGCTGAGAGATATGGGCAAGAGGCAGTAATGAATCCATTTGTGCAATTAGCAGATCACAATAATCTCTGAGTGCAGTCACTGCAATGCACCACCAGATAATAGCCAGAATAGCTAACTTTGAATTCTGAGCTGTCTTGTCTTGTATTGCATGTTGATGCCTTTGAGAAATCTCACTGTGTAGGTCTTCTATGCAAAAAAATTTGGTCCTACCTCGCCTAGCAAATGGACTTCCATTGTATCTGAGTGCTTCTGAAACACAGTCTCTTTCCCCCTACCTCCTTTTTCCTCTCTAATGCTGCTGCAGTCCAAGTAGATATGTGTCTGTGTCCCTGCCATGTAAATCAAATTTAAAAGTTGGTGTCTTGAGGCAGAGGTTGAGAGTGCAGAGATGGAAAACTGCCCATTTCTCATATCATTGATCTCAGAATGGGCTTGTAGATGGGGACAGCAGTGATTTCCTTTTCTTTAGAAAATAAATTAATGAACTATAGTTTCTTCAGCTGTAGTTGATGTTGCACAGTTAAATTGCAAAGGGCGAGTTTCATTACTGTTATAAGTGCTGACCTAACTATTAGCTTATGCTAATAATATTGCATTAATCAAATTGGCCTTCTTTCATTTTAGCAGTGTGTTTTCTGTATTTCTGTGAAATATGTAGGCATGCTTAGTATTACATTTTAAGGTGTTAAATATGTTCCATGAAACACTTAGTAAGAGATGAAATGAAATGTTATTGAATAGCTTTTGGTGTGTGTGTTCCTGTGATAATTTATGTTTATTTGATTCTACAAGTTGTATTTAGAGCATTAAATGGAACATATAGGAAGTCAAAGCAACAGAAAATAATCTAGTGTTTGTATAGATGTAGCTACACTATGACCAACTTTTCAGTTGTTTCACCTTTCAAAAAGGAGAAGTGGAGGAAGGTGTAAAGACTTTAGTTTTCTGCAGTAAACTTTTTCAAAAATAGGTTTCAGAACATCAGAGCACAGCACATGAGCTTCTTTGGAAATCATTTACTCTGTACAAGGATTTGGGCTTTTAATTTTATCAGGAGGAACATTTGGGTGCACAAGATGCCTCTGTTTGAAATAAGGGTGCTTCAGGACATAGTAGCATTTTTTATTGTGTAGAGCCAGATAGGATGTAGCAACATGGGGTTCACATATTCATTAATTACTGCAGAGTCCAGGCTCACAAAGCACTTTTCATTCATATGACTGTAACATTGCTACACATCATCAGAGAAGAGTCAGTAGCCAAATCTGAGTGGGTTCTCTGTAGAAGCCTAAAAGATAAGGGACTAAAATGTTTGTGGTTCAAAAACTGATAGCTGGATATCCATGGAAGCAACCAAGAATTGTTGGTAATAACACACTGTGAGAAAGAACAGGATGTGGGTGGAATAGGGGCCCATATGGAGGTAGAGCAGCACTTTTCTGGGACAGATGTCCTTGTTCTGACACGACAGAAAAAGCACAACACAGTACAGGGCAAGTGCAGCAATGAGATTGAGAAATGGACATGCACTACAGATTATGACCATCAAAGACCCTTCAAGCCTCCACCTGTTTCCAGAAAGATGGAGAAGAATGAACTGTGCATGATAACTAATTTGCATAGAAAGTGAGAAGCTTACCCCCAGAACAGGGTAAACATATCTATGAAAAGGTATTCCCCACAAAGCCTGGGCATGTGTGCAGCCCAGGACCCTGGATACTCCAGCTGGATCAGTGCTGGGGCTAGAACAGGTGATCTCTCTAATTCTCTTTCTTCCTTTCTTTCTCTCTCACACTCTTTAATTCATGTCTCTCTCTTTCTTCCCTTTCACCCTACCCCTTATCCAAAACCCACTGCTGTGGGCTTATGCTGGGAGGTCAGGGACTTGAATAACAATGTCCTTGCCAAGTGTGTAAATTATTAATAAAACTCTATAAGCTTTTGCAGAATCTCTGACTTTTGCCATTCCTTTCAACCACGAACATCTACGAATCTTGGGTTCTCCCTTCTCCTTAAGGGTGGGACGCCACATTCTCACAGCTTCAAGTGCTTGCTGTATGGCATAGATCACTTTTCTAAACTGTATACATTTTGGTCTCATATGTATATGTGTGTGTATATTTAAAATCTCCTGCAAATCAGTTGGCTATTTTAGAATTCCAATGCAGTCCTACATCACTTCCCATTTTTAGAGCCCTGGGGGTTTGTTACTACAAGTTTCTGCTTATGATTTTAAAAGTCTCACATTGCCTGCCTTTAAGAAGGCTGTTCTTATTTTTGACATGGTACATTTGACATCTGGTTAAGTAAGCAT